ATCAACAAACTGGTTGTACTCTTCCATCAGTTTGGTGGATGTGGTTGGTGCGAGAAGATTTCTGCTACTACCTCCATCTCGGACAAAGAGTTGCTTGTATGGTTTTGTTTCATTCTCGTCTGTTTCTTTACCTTTTCCTTTTTTTTTGGCTTTTTTAATGTTCCTGTTGAATGTGTGGTAGATGCTTTCTTCACACACCATACAGTCAGGAACTATATCCACTTCTATGACACATTTGTCAGAAGATGTCATATTCTTGTTGAGAACCTCAACAAATCGAGGAGGTTTGATGCAATTTTGAGCAGATTGTTTGTGTTTATACTCAAAGTAACCATCAATGGCAGATTTTAGTTCCTTTAAATAGGCCTCTTTGTCCTTAACGACCACTCCCAACACTTGTCCATGGCTGAAATCAGGCTCGTCACCTATTCCAAAGTGTATGGTGCCATTTGTGCGGCTATTCATGCAGGCAGCTGCGAAGCGGATAACCTCAGCAGTGAACTTGCTCATTTTAGTTTCATCAGTTGTATTAGTGAAACCTTTATACTCGTGGCAGGGTTCAATTAAGTCTAAGGCACCTGATTCTGGAATATCAAGAATGTTGCTCTCGATATATCTATGTGTATCATGCTGCCTACAAAATGGATAAGGCTTGCATGGTCTTCCACACTGATTTGTAGCATTTGTTGGCTCCTCTTTCTTAAATTTCACTAACTCATGTCTGGCATGAATGAAAAGTTTTGCAGGTCCAAAAGTCACACCCATTTGTTTTAAGTCTTCTCTATCTAAAAGCAAAAGACTTGGTCCATTAATGTCCTGCTCAAACAAGATTTCTGCAACTCCGTCATCAACATCATCTAACGTGAGAGTCCATGCTTTCACTTGATGTTTACTCCAGTCCTTGATGTCCGGTGGCAGATCCTCCTCCTGACTCTGAAATAAAAAAGTCCTGTTATTTTTCCAACTCAAATTAATGAACACATTATTAAGGTGTTGAAACATAAGGTGTAGTAATACATAACAACTTGAAGTTGTTTAATAGGTTAGAGTTTTTACAAAGTTGTTAGATTGATAACTTTAACGCATGGATGTAAATGTATTGCGAATTACATTCCTTTCAAATACTGAATGTTTAACTGTCATTTACCTTGATTTCACCTCGATCTGCCATGGCGGTGTTGGTTTCTTCTTCACAAAAGTAGATCACTAAACCTACAAAAATAATCAAATAATTTAAAAGGAGCAAATCACATTAGAGGCCTATAAATTGCATAGGAAGGCTCGTTTAACATAAAATCACATACGTTTTCTCTTTACCTTTATTTTTCCTGATCATCCATGATAGCTGGCTCACTTTTCACACATCTTGACCATTAATGCTGCAACAGAAAGTAGAAATATAATCATATTGATGTCTTAACCTCTTGAGTCCGATTGCCCCCGCGGGACGCAGCATCTTGTAAGAAACAGAGTCTCAGGGCTTGTTAACATTTAACAACCTATTAATGATGCATACCCACTTAACGGGAAGAAACAGACGATATTAACAATTTTTACCTAAACGAAACACAATTCAAACACCAAGCGTCTAAATCAGCGCTTAACGAAAATGAGCTAACGCTACATTAGCACATAACTGGCTACTGGCGATTTTTCTACTTCATGCTACCTGCACAAACGACATGTCATATGAAAGCCTCCCCTCCCTGCCATCGGACCCCTGCCCTCAGACTCTCTCATCAGATCCGTGCGTTACTCACTCCACGCTCTTGTCTGAACTTGTGTTTTTGTGAAATGTCTAAATCCCCATGAGTCATTTGGTAACTTCTATGAACTTGACAGCACAGGTATCCCAGCAGTCATTTTGACATTCAGGCAAGCATTAGTGTTTGATGAATTTGCTTTTCTTAACAGGTTATTTAAAGTTTTTTCTCATATGTATTTTATAAATTGAGTTCAGAGACACATAGGCTACACTGTTGTAACATGAAGGTAAGACATTTATTTAAAATGGGGACAGTGTACAAAAAATTGAATGCATCAGCTTAAGCACAATACTGATTTATCCCTGGGTATGCATACAGTGCATATAAAATTACATTTTTCACGTGACATAAAAAAAAAACTTAGGGAGTAACAGTTTTAATCTGACTTTAACGGTCTACTATGTGTAGGGATAGAATTAGAAAGAAAGAGCTGTTTGAGCAAATTTAGTTTGTCCTTGTTGTTGATCTGTTTTAACTGTATATATCATCCGGAATAAATTATTAAGCCAGGGGGAAAATAACCATGCAGTGTAATAGTAAAAGTAAAATAAACGAACATTGATCATGAGCAAAACATATTTCAAAGCTAATTTAGTTGTAAAAGTGCTGATGAATTAAATAGTGACAGTACTGTTTACATCATGTAAACAGTACTGTTTGATGTTTACTGTTTACATCATTGCAGGTCTCCCTTTAAAAAGAGATATGATCTCAATGGGACCAATCTGGTTAAATAAAGGTTTGAAATGAAATGAAATGAAAACATCCACCCTGACAACACACTGCACGTTAATCCCTGCCTGTCTGTCTCAGGGTTTCTGCTGCGTCATGGTGAGAGGCTCCTTTGTATTTCTGAAAAAGCTCTTATTTCCCCACTGCCAACAGTGGTTGAATAAAACACGGACGAAGCTGCAGATGTAACTCTTTCTGCGCAATACACGACGTATTTAGCGAAGAGAAGTCTCACATTATAGTTTAATAATGGGTTTTATTTGACTGATGTAGGTTTTTTTGGGTGTGAGTGCACTGCGATGTCAAAGTACGAAACAGGAAGCTCCTCAAAAGATTCGAAATCCGACAAAAATGTAACGTGAGCAGAATGCATGATCCGTAAAATCGAGACAAATACAATGCTAGATGAAAGTGAGGAATGAAAGACTGATTTTCAATGATTTAGATCGTGACTGTTTTTTAACACTGCGCACATACATGGAAACAGACACACACACACACCCCCCCACTCACACACACACACACACACACACACACACACACACACACACACACACACACACACACACACACACACACACACACACACACACACACACTCACTCACCATCCCGGAGACCTGTTCCTCCGCAGTCTCGGTCCGATCACTGTCCAACATGCACAGCTCTTAGAAATGACTTTAGTGATGAGCAGGCTTCATCCAACACACCTTCATCCTCCTCCTGCTGTTTGCAGAGGAGAGAGCAGGCGATCTTAAAGTGGGCGGTCTGTTCTGAGGAAACGAAAGCTAACAAATACTGTGTGTGTGTGTGTGTGTGTGTGTGTGTGTGTGTGTGTGTGTGTGTGTGTGTGTGTTCTGAACTTCTGACAAACGAATCCTTTATGTTCCTCTTTTTCCCCCTCCATTTTTCAAGAAAATTGAAAGTACATCAAATATACACACAGAACCTTGACAACAGGGGTACACAGGGCCGTCCCTGGCCAACTTGGGGCCCCAAGCGACATTGTGAGATGAGGCCCCCCCCCCCCCACCGACAGGAGTGAAAAAAAATGTTTGGAAACAAAGTAGCCTACTTTGTAAATATAAGTCCTGTTTATTATTATTATCAACACAGTTACTTTTTTATACAGTGAGGTAAATGGTAAATGTGCGTTGATGCTTATGATAGCAAGGCCACTTAAGCGTTCTTGTGCCATTGACGCCCGGAGGTACGTCTTCACAAGATTCAGTTTGGAAAAGCTTCTCTCATTAGACGCAACTGTAACAGGAAGAGTTACTGCAATGCGGAGGGCAATCCAGAGATTTGGGTACAGTTCCTGTAACTCACTTTTGTGGAGAAATGACAACATCTCCAGAGCAGTTTTTAATATGATTAATGCAAATAAACTACTTCTACTAATAATAATAATAATCAATTCAATAATATAAATACTATATTATTTTATTATAATATAGTTGTAATATAGTCAAGACAAAACATGCTTATGACATGCTCAAAAACGGATATTTCTTAAATCTGTATTCAAATGTAGTTCCCTCTGTCAACAATGTATCAACAACTACACACACATTTCCTATCACTATTTCTCTGTTGTGGTTGACATGATGATGACTGTTAGGAGTTAAGGGGAGAGGCTGAGCATCAGCATGAAATGTGCAACTTGACATAAAAATGAATAAAAGGGGAAAAAATGCTCCAAGTTTTTTAGGCTGTAAACTTTAACTGTTATGTAAGCCAACTGACTGACAGTTTATCACTCTTCCTCCTGTACATTAGCAGATAAAAGGAACTGCGCACAAGCCGAGCTCATAAGCCGAGGCCCCCTGCGCAATGTGAGGCCCCCTGCGCAATGTGAGGCCCCCTGCAGCCTGCATGATCGGCCTGTAGGGAGGGACGGTCCTGGGGGTACATAGACCTGTACATATACTGTGTTATTGTTTTACAATTATATGTATGAAGAAAGACATATAAAGAAATAGTGATATTTTTGGAATTCTAAGTAAAAATGTGGTTTAGAGTCAGTCAGACGCTTGCTTCAGTAGCACATCATGTGCTTCAGAAGCGAGGCAAGAATCCTAGCCTCGGAAAACGAAGAATTGTGGAACAGGCTAACAGGTGTGCGTCATATGCGAGGCCCCGCCTTAAATGGAGCGCAATTTCCGCTAAAGATTTGGAAATTGGTCCATGCGCAAAGCATTGTGGGGATTTTAAGACCGCAGAGTCTACACATGTGCAGCCTCGAAATTTCTCGCTACGAAGTAGGCCTTGGTAGAATTCCAAGTATGCTGGACATTGGAACAGTCCTTTGGCGGCACTCAATGACGTAGTATGCTTGAAATAGTGGCTCTGGAGCAGCTTTACTCGACATTGAGAAACACCCACAGAGAAGAGACAAGAAGAGAGAAACAGTCGGAGTAGTTTCAAATGGCGTGTACAAAAAAGAGAAAGGTAGACCGCGAAAACAGAGCATTTAATTTTTCTCTTACTGGACCTCTTTGAAATGCAATTGAATACCCCTGCATTATAGCAACAACAACAATAATAATAATAATAATAATAATAGCAATAGAATGTAGGCTGTATATAATATGCAACAGAAAGAGCAAATGGACTACATGACAGCATTTCATATCTGGGACAAGCAGAAAAAGAGAGCAGGGACATTCAAACATCAAACATTTTTGTTCATTTGTATCTCCTTTTTGTTGGCATGCCATTTACTCTACTTTATCATGAAATTCATGAATTTATACAAGTTTGAGCCGAAAATGTATACCTTCACCTTTAATTACAAGACACCTGAAGCATGAATCAGTAACTTAACAATACAAATGAAACAGAGAAATTCAAGAAAACCATTCAAAAGCCACATTTCCGTCAACTGAATACAGCATTTTACTTTACTGTACATCTTAGGACTTATATACAAGCTGTACAATTCCACTGTTCTCAGAGGAAGAGAGAGTGTTGGTCACTTCAACACGACGCGGTATCCATCCGTGGTTTCATCTGGGAGACAGATAGTAATCCGGTAAACGATCATTAAAAACACAACTGGTCCAGCTACACAGGGTGTATAGGGAATGTCTGTTGATGAACAGTGCGTTGTGGAATCAGAGATTCACTTTGATAAATGATTACCTCTTAGAGTGCTGAGGATGAAGCTTGTTTCCTCCCTGAAGTTCTGCACCATCTGAAACACACAGATTCACCCATGTCAACAGATTATATCCATTTCCAAAGTGCTGCTTATCACAAGTGAGGACATTTTGTGATTTATTATCATCTATAAATCCAAATTCTTTTAAATATCATAATTATCTTCTGCTAACCTGTTAATGGCAGTGCCAAATGGTCAGCTTTAGATAAAGACTTTAGTAAGAGTTTAGGATAGCCTTTTGGCTGTCAAAACTATTTTATTGAGTGGTAAAATTAAGGATAATGGATTAAAGATTCAATGATTCAAGATTCAATTTCAAATGGATTCCTCTCTGAGGAACTCAACAGGATTAACTATAAGGGCAATATATCTGAATTTATAGGGCGACACATTCAAAATGACATGCAATTTCGGTAAGACTCATCACTGAGGTTAAAAAAAAACTCCCCCCCTGTTTGGCAAAAGCAATATCAACAAGGGATGTAATCTTGTTCAGGATAAGCAATAAGTGTTTCCTTATCATAATAATCAGAGATGCGGAGCATACAGCACTACAGGCAGGGGCGCTGTAAGGGGGTGAAAAGTTAGGACGATTCTAAGGGCCCGCGACTGACAGGGGCCCCAAACAAAAAAATATAAGTAACCTTTCATCAATCATCATCAACAATTAACATTAATATAACGTTAAATTGACAATGTACTCACTAAACTTACGATTCATTTCACATTTCACTCCTCTTTTAGCTGACATTTAGTAAATGCAGGTACATTTTTAGCAGCTATTCATACTAAATCAGTTGTCCCTCCCCCTGGTGCCAGGACCAACAGATCCATCTCTAGACTTAGCAGCCCTGTCCATAAGTGTTATATTTTCACAGCTCAGTGTCAGTAAATATTGTGCAGTTAGTATTGGACTACAAGATAGATGCAAGCCTGTACATGTAGAGTTATTTAAAGCATAAATGAGTGGGTTGGGTTCTGGAGGTGTGGTTACAGCAATTGTGCTTGGTTGGCGTGGCCTGGGCCTGGTGGTGGGGCCCAATGTGATATATTTCCATGGGGCCCAAAATCCCTGGCGGCACCCCTGCTTACAGGACAAAGCTGTACATGTTGGTGCCACTCTTCATTATTTTAATCATTATAGTCTTTGTTATAGTCATGGGTCATTCAAGGAGGACCTTTAGACATCAAAACTTTTGAAAAATGAACCCTTTATTTTCAAATGTTCTTTTATGTATTAGAGAAAAACAGGTATCAAAGGTACACTTTTTATTAGATGTTTTATTTGTTGTTTTTTAACAGCGCTCAATGGTGGGCTGGAACTTTGAAATCAATTTTAGCAGGCCGGGCTCTCAAACGGAGCTCTTTGGTGAACAAGTCAAACATGTGAAGAGTTGATATGAGACGTAAGGATACCTCATCAGAGACTAGGACGTGGATCCCGCTCGGTTTCTGTCTGTAGATGTGTGTAATCTGCTGCGGGGGGAGGCTGTACAGCATAGCGATCTTTTCAGAGAGGTCCATCAGCGTCAGCTCCTTCAGGTACAGAGCGTGGTAGACTGCAGGGAACACAGGAGGGAACACATCAACCTGCTTTATGTACACCAGAACACTACATTTCATTCTGAAGACATCATTGCAGACTCTGTGACAATAGGCCCCTTTCTTGGCTGAGAAAATTGTGTTTTTGTTGTAATGAGAAACGTAATAAAAGTGTATAACTCTCGTAATCCATTATTTAGTTATGTTTTTTTATTTTTTGTATCAATTACAAAAACATCACAGTGAAATGCAAACTTCCATAAGATCACTTATTAATAACTATGACTTGTTACATGGAGGGAAAAATGCCTGACATTTGCAATAAGTGAACATAATGAGGGTCTTAGAGGGGAGACTGCGTCTGTCCTGCACAGCTGCCGTAAACGAAGCAATCCAATGAAGGTTGAGTCAATGAGCGTACCGTAGGTTAAACGCCTTCTGGACACCAACATTAACGCAAGGGGTTTTCATTTTTGGTGAAAAAAAGGTACTTTTCTCAGTAGGTTACTCTGTAACGGTACAAGCTACATTTTAAAGGCAGTAATGTTGCTGTGAAACAAGTTTCTTTTAAAATTAACACTACCTAACACTGATGATTAATTTCTCTTAAGAAACACTTCTCTATGGTGGCTGACAGATGCAAACATGCTACAACTGCCTAAGCTAAACATTTCCATTAGGAGAAATGTCCAAAACTATGTAATGTATCTGCCAAAACACACGCAAATGTGTCACAACTGAAACAGGGACACTAAAAAGTGAGGCATACAGCTGGGACCAGAGTGCTTGGTGACGTTCAGGATTATAAAGTTGGACAACTGTCTCTGTTGCAGAGTTAGTCTGTTTCATAACTATACAAAAATAAATGTACAGCAGATCTGCAACAACATGGGAGGGAGTCATGTGAACACAATGTTCAAATAAACCCATAAAACATTTTAGGTAAGTTTCCAGTGACAGTTGGACAACTTTATAATCCTGAACGTCAACAAGCTCTCCGGTCCCAGCTGTGTGCGTCAGTTTTTAGTTTCTCTGTGTTTTGAGCTTCTTGCAGCTTTTTTTTTCTCCCAGCGTTTTGTGTTTGCAACGTTTCCTTTATGCAGCACTTTTAGTAGACCCTGTGCATGTTTCCTGGAGTTGGTGAAGATGTTTCTTCATTTGCATGAGTTTTGGGACATTTGTAGGGGGGTTATTTGCATTGTTTTTGAAACCGTAGCACGTTTCTCCTGATGTAACGTTTGGCCGTAGTAGCGCGTTTGCACCTGTCGGCCGCTGTACTTCTCCTTATTCCATGATAGTCCTTTAAAATGTTTTTACACACGTACTAAAATACATGTGTAAATATTCAACATCATTTATAGAGATCAGAGGACACTGTATGGCACTTACTGTCTCCAGCCCCCGGCTTTACGGCAGGTCTGGCCTGATGCTGACACACATACATGGTGAGACGGGGCTGAATACACCTGGGAAGGTGAGCAGAGCTGTAGTATGGAACTGGGTAAGACACACAACAGCCTGACTTCATGTGTGCCCGCCTTTCTACTCACTAACACTAACTTGACAGACTTAAATGCAGGTACATCTCTGTTTATCAAAGTTATCTTACTATATCTGTATTGATTATTGACATACTGCTGATAACTACTAACAAGACTTCTGAAACATGACCAGTGCTAAAATATGACTGCTTTATTTAAAAGGCAATCACGAAAATCTAAAATAAATATATTAAAAAACACTGGTTTAATCTTTGCCAGTGCATGGTACAGTATAACAGTGTGTTCAATCATTTGGATTTTAGTTTAGGGTCAGAAGAGGATGTTCACGGAGTTTTACTAATAACATTAACCTGCAGTGGTGTGAAGTACCAAAGTACATTTACTCAAGTACTGTACTTAAGTAAAATTGTGAGAGACTTGCACTTTACTTGCGTACTCAAATGTTTTCATATTTTGTACTTCTCCCCACCACGATTCAGAGGTAAATAGTGTACTTTTACTCCACTACATATATTTAATGTAAATAAAATGTATTTGAAAATTCAAGTTTGATCCTGAACTTCTGAAAATACAATGATGCATTCAAACTAAAACTAAGTATTTGAAAAGTTTTTTCAGGTTTCAAATTATTTAGATTCAGTTTAGCTATTTTTGGGAATGAATAATATTTACTCATATTTCAGTTTTAAATATATTTTGATATTTGAGTCCTGCTTGATCAGTTCAACAGATTGTATGCTTTCAGATTGAGAGACTGTTTGAATGCATTGTTGTATTTTTCGTACATTTTCAAAACATTACATTTTTTCGAATTATCGAAACTGTTGGCCCAGATTTAGCTCCATGTATTTTATTGTCTCACCTTCCTTTCATGGTGTTGAAGAGGCGGATCCCATCAGCTGGACCGCAGATCTGGACCAGATCCTCCCTGCTCATCCTCAACAGATCTGCACCTGCAACAACAGCAGAAGATCCACTCTGCTTCCTACCTGTTCAAAATATTCATGGATTCCTTTCATATGCTTTTTTATGTTTGAGTCACTCGGCTGTGTGCTTGCTTTCTCAAAATAGTGATGATTGTTCTGCCTTTACCTGCGAAGCTGCAGAAGAGCCTGCAGAAAGGGGAGAACCTATGTCTCTGCAGCCACTGCTGCGTGTCCTGCAGCGAGGACGAGGGCAGGAGGTGCTACATGTCAAAAAGAAGAAGAGCCCTTGAAATGAGTCTCCAAATAATGGCCTAAAAGGGATAAGAGAGCAACATTAACACTTTCACTGCACCCTTACTTACATCGGAGCAGGCGGGCATTAGCAGCTCCCCTGGCTGGGTTGGAGAACAGTTGCTACAGAAACATCCACACAGGAAGAAAATAGATTAAGGTGATCAGCTGAGTGTCTGTCTGTCCAATTCTAAGTGTCTACTTTTATCTCTCCACACACTGTGAAGAATTTCAGTGATAGGAACTCCTGGTAAGCACCCATAGAGGGAGCCGTTAGCTCCATATGTTAGCATGACACTACAGAGACAGTCCCACATACTCTAGATCTCTGAAACCACAAACAAAGTTTACATTTTGGTCTTTCTTAAAGGTCCCATTTCATTCTTTTCCGGTTATTACCCATCCCCTTGTGTGTTATGAAGGTTTTTCTGCATGTAAATGGTCTGCAGAGTCACAAACCCTCAAAGTACACCCTGTAGCGAGTAAAACTCTAACACAGAAAAGACCTGTCTATGCTGCCCCAGAACGCCTCGTTGGAGATTTCTCTTTTTCTTCCTGGGTATCGCTACGTAGGGATACCCAGTAGCCACGCCCAGAGCTATGGCCGCACCCTCTGCCAGCTTTTCACGTAACAAAGCTTCCCAAAACCTTCCAGTGATTCATGCCGGATATGTACAGCGTAGGGCACTGAAGGACGATGCTGTTCCCACTTTGTTTGGACCAGCGGGAGATTCGGGTACACAACCTGTAAGTATTCATTGTTTTTTGTGTATTTATGAAGTTTAAAACAAACAAGGTATCTACCACGACTGTTTAAATGGGTAAACGTTTTTCTGACTATTACGTTGAAATGCTCTCCGCAGACCCATGCTCACAGCGTTATAAACCTTTTTCTTACTCAATATCAAGCCACACTTATTGTTTTTACTTCGGCTGTGAGTGTTTATGTGTGCTCAGGATGAGTTTCGCTTGTTCTCCTGTATCGCCGAGGCGCCGACACGGAAAGCCAGTCTGCTCCTGCAGCAGCTCACACAGCTGTGAGGAGCTGCTCAGCTTCCCGACCAATCAGAGCACACTGGGCTCACAGGGAGGGGGCAGGAGCTCCAACAAGCCGTTTAGGACACAGAGTGAATACCTTTATATATACAGTCTATGGTGAATACACATACTATACAGAGATGCTGTATGAGAGAACAATGTGAGTTTGGAACATTGAACAATGTAAATCTATTCTAGTAGACCTCAACAATAGAATTATGATCAGTAGAAATGGCCATGTCATGGGATCTTTAAGATTAGATGTACAGTTTTCAGAGCTCGATGTATTAGCTGTATGCCCGCCCACATGGTGACATTGGGCGATAATGCTGACTCACCCATCTGTGAAGGTGCAGGAGGTGGGGGAGCTGTGGTAAACTGGAGATGGAGTGCTGCTGCTGTGGATGCTGAGGTTCAGAGCGTCAGGCCAGGGGGAACACTGAGAGACACAGCAGATACATCTCAGGACAAACACTGCATGAGTAAACCAAAACCAAATATTTAGAAATCCCTATTTCATTACAACAATGGATCAAATGACTTTGTGTAAGGTAATAGGTGTTGCATACAGTAAACCTACGAAGGATTAGCATTGAACCCCGTCAGCTATGAAGCCTTTAGTCTGTGTTGCCCTATTTGTTGTTGTTCTAGGCTCAAAACTCTTCTCATCTACTTCATTTCCAACACACAGAAGCTTCAATAAACCACAGCAGAGTAGCTGCACAGCAGCACATGCAGACTGAGTTCAAAGGGCAAAATAAAAATGGACAAATATTTCTCTAGTGAGGAGGTGGAGCCCAAAACTTATTTTTGTGTTCTTACATTACCATCTTCAATGAATAAGACATGTCAGTGTTTTGTTCTCAGCTTACCCTGCACCCAAAATATATTAAAAAGCCACTTTTACAATAAAAAAAAAATATGCAAAAAACATTTTGACAACTTTTACAATCTGTATTTATAAAGTAAATATGTTTGGGTTGTGTAATATTTTTGGTTAAATCACGTGGCTGGTAACCTTTACCAAATTAAATGTATTAAAGACTTGAACTTAAAGACTTTAAGATTTGAACACTATAATGAGTTCAGTAATAGATCTAAGTGGTTGTTTCAGCACTGTCCTTCAGGGACCTCTCTGGAGTCACACACATTATTGTTTCCCCGCTTCAGCTCTGATCAGGTTTGTCTGTCTGCGAGATGAATGACAAACCACATTAAGCTGAGTCACTGTACATTCACAGACACTAAAGTGATGCAACCAATGATTGACAGAGCCACTGAGGTGTGAGATGACTGTAGGCTTCGGTGCTGCTGAGATTAGATAACACATGAATTCAGATCAATAAAGTTGCAGCACTACAATGAAAGCAAACAAAGGCTCCTCTCTGGTATGGAATGTGTCCGGAGACAGGGGGGGGGGGGCTCACCTCTTTGAGCACAGTGCTCTCATGAGACAGTTGGTACTTCTCTCTGTCCTGCAGCGCCTTCTTATCAATCTTCTCCCTGTCGGTCTTCAGCTTGCGATCAGCTCCTTTAGGCTTACAAACATAAAGATGGAAGTGTAAACACCTGACACAATGTGCAAAAACAAAAATAATTCAGTCATCTTTGGGGTGTGCATGTTATAGACTACGAATGCAGGCGTTAAGAGAGCAGTAAGGATGCCAGGACATTTTTTATATTTGTTACTTATTCAGTCTCCCTTTGTAACGCTCAAACCAGAGTTAGTGATTGATAGAAAAGTGGAAAGACTAACGAACAAGTTCCTGATGAGTTTGGTTTCACGAGGTTATTCTCAATTCAGCCTGTTTTTGAAGAGAGCATACTAATGTATGTTTTTGACATTAATACATTATAAACAGGGTTGGTTGGGTTACTTAATGGGTATATTTGGTTACAGTTACTAGTACAAATAATAAAAAGTATCACATTATAAAAAGTATGTAATCTGAACCTTCCGTTACTTTTGGATTACCTTAATATGAAATGCAATGCAAATAAATATAAGAGAAAATAAATATCAATAAGATGTTTTTTTTTAAAGTGTATTATATAAGACAAATGAACAATGAGACCTTAGGGTAGAATAAACCAAGATATTTAGTATCAGAAATGTGTCCTCTTTAAAACGGCCCTCACAGAATAGTAGATTACAAATGCTGTTTCAGTTACATTAATTAAGAGCAAACACTTTATTGTTGTTTAATAAATCAGGTGTTCAACTCCTGCATTAAAATAAAAAGGCAGTATAGGCCTATATATATATATATAGGCCTATACTGCCTACTTTTTTTTTTTGTTCTTGTCTCAAAACTATGAAAGAACACATGGAATTATCTAGTTGACAAATAAGTGTTAAAAAATCCAGAATATGATTTATATTTTAGGTTCTTCAAAGTAGCCCCGTTTTGCCTTGATGACAGCTTTGCACACTCTTGGCTTCTCTCAGTCAGCTTCATGAGGTAGACACCTGGAATGGTTTTCAATGAACACGTGTGCCTTGTCAAGAGTCAACTTGTCGAATGACTTGCCTTCTGAATGTGTTTGAGACCATCAGTTGTGTTGTGCAGAGGAAGGGTTAGGCGGTGTTTACATGAGAACGAAACGGGTTGTATCTGTTACTTTTCTCTCACGTGTAGCCCGTTCGTTCACACGAGGCCATAACGGAACCGCGGAAACGATAAGGGGTCCCAAGGTGGATAGATCTGCAACCGGAACGCTCTGGGGGGGTTTCCGCGGTTCCGTTATGGCCTCGTGTGAACGAACGGGCTACACGTGANTATACAACCTCTAATAAGAAACAAAGAACTCCTATAAGGAGAATTACAAATAATACACAGGCCTACTTTAAAATAAATTAAACACAGCACTTGGGGAGTCCTCTGCACATTTGAAGAAAAAAAAATATTATTAAAATGGGCCCACTTTGAAATAAATAAAACATATAGCTGCACCCTAAAAATAGTTAAAGGTAGGGTAGGTAAGAATGGAGAAACCAGTGTGGTCGAGTGCGCTAGAATTTGAAAATACACAACCGGAAAAAATATGCCTCTTCCTTCAGACTTCCTCACAGAGCCCCTCCTCCAACACACACGAACGCGCACATGCAATGAGGGCACGAGATAAATTTGTGCACAGATGGAAGGCTGACAGGCAGGTAGGCCATCCAGTTATTTTAGCCAGGTCGGCTAAAATGATTGGTCGTGCTTTTTACAGCGCTACGGCTTCCAGAGATGAATTTTTGTATGTATTTATTGTCAAAGCATTTAATATAATCATTGCTATCGGGATGTTAAGAGCATTCCATGGATTATAACAAAAAGTGTTTTCTGAAATAAATTACATACCCCATTGAATTATGACTGAAGATCGTCAGCTGTCTTCCTCTCCGTGTCGTTGTTCCCGTTGTTCCTCGACACGTAAAGGCTGCAGCACCTTTGACAACTTCTCTCTACATATCAAACATACCGGTAAACCAGCATCGTTTGCTGTGAAAGCATATAACTCTGTCCACACAGAATTAAATCCTGTGTTCCTCCGGTACTTTTCTTTGATTTATCCATAGTTCGCTCATCGAGCCGGCGGTCCCCGCGCGAGTGCCTCCAATAAAAGGCGCTCGCGCGGGACCGTAGCAGGATGTGACGCATATTTTAGTTAAAAATATTAAAACCGTTTTGTTTTTTATTTATGTCACAGTATCACCTCAAAATACAAGATACCAAACATTTTCAACCATGCAACAAAATATAAATAGTCCTACAAATACTTTTATTTTATTTCCTTCTTATTTTTGTCTAAGCTCAAGGGAGCCAGAGCAGAGGGCTTAAAGGGCCGCATGCGGCCCGTGGGCCGCGAGTTGCCGACCCCTGGACTAGACGGTCAAAGTCAATACACACTATATAGACAGCAGTTCAGTAAAGTCATCAAAAAAGCTGGCACAGTATTTGGGTGGTCTATAGATATTTAGGAACAGAGCTAGAGAGGAGCATTTCAGCTGAAGNTTTCCATCTATTTACAATATTTGTTCAAAATAAGTTAAAAAGTAATTCCAATGTCAGTAAAAAATTTAAAACACAGTTTGAAAGGGGAGTGATTAGTAAAATATGCATAAATAAAAATAAAGAATGCAGACTAAAGATAGGAGAGAGGAGTATATCAATGATGTGTTATTGGTTGTGAGCATATTCTAATGGTTTTTGGAGTATTGAAATATATACAGTTCTGTTTCATATGAGTGTTGAGAGAGCTGTATCCATAAATCTCTTAATTTGTGCACCAGATTGATGCCTTTAACTTAAATTTAAAGAAACAAATCTTACCGGGGGGCATGCCCCCGGACCCCCCTATCGGATGTGAGGTCATCACAAATAAAACAGGTTCATGGATAGATAAGTTTGCACACTCATTATATACACTACACATGTTTCTTGTATTAATTAACACCATAGTCCCTAATATATATATGTAGAAAGGCAGGAAATGGAATTAAATCGAGAACAATGTTTCATTGCGGAGGACCCCCTGTTTTGTGTCCCCCCCACTTCTCAAACCAAAGTTACACCCTTGACTACGAAGGATCATCTTTTTCTACAGCTGGAAATAATTTCACAAGAGAAGTTGACTGTAGGTCAAAAGCAATTCCTCTTACTGTTAAATATAACCAGAATATAATTTACTGGTAAGAATGTACTGTTCACAGTGTGTTCCTTCTTGTAAAGACCATGTATTGGCCTAAAGGGCCAGCTATAATAATCTCAGGCTCTGATCAAATCTAATGCTGAGCTGCATGATGCTGATTTTAAATGTAATTCGTTGCATTTCATTTAGGATAGTCTCGGAAATGCTATTAAATAAACATTGCATTTAGTTGTATTGCCCTGAAAGTTTCAAACTGTTTTTCATCAATATAACACACAAAAAGTAAGGACATTTGTGTTTGGTAAATGATTTCTTTGTGGTAACAATGCTTCTGGGCAATACATCTTATACAGTTGGAAAGCCTGTTTTCTGACCTTTCCAATTGTACCACATTTGTGAGGAACAAGCATGTGTGGGATGGGCAGCAGAGCTGAGTCTGTGGGTTGCGCCCATGAAGAATGTGACACATCTCTTTCAGAACCTCTTTACACAGAGGGGACACGTGTTTTATAAAAGACATGGAAAAAGTGGACATTGCTTAATAGGTGACCTTTAAATGAAAGCTCCACAATTATTAAATCAGACAGCGGGATTAAAAAGGTAAAGAGTTGAGTCATGGATCCTACTTTCTTTGCTAGTATATTTATTTCATCTAAATAGTTCAAATCAACAACAAAAATAAAGATGTACAAAAAGTGATTTAGTCATTGAGGTAACACATTTCCGAATTACCCATAAAAAGTCACAGAACATTTCTCCAGTATTTTTGTGTGTGTGTTAGTTGCTCCAAACAGACAGGCCCAAGTAGCTTTGCATAACAAGCACTGTCAGGGGAATAACTGTGTGTATCACCAGGAGCTCAGAGCGGCAGTGCTGCACATACATTTGACTTATGAACACAGGTTGTTCTTTGGTTTATATAATCAGTCACCTGAATACACATCCCAGATCAAATATTCTAAATGAAGCCCAGAGGCAGCGATGTGTTTTGGTCTGGTGGCTTGATGTTGCTTGGGAGACATTTACGTCACAGAAGATGTAGCGTCTGATAATTAGCACCCACGGTGATTGTAAAGGAAATGAATAGAGTCAACCTGAAAAGGGAGAATAACACAGAAGGGTTGCCATAGAGCTTGTTGTGGAGAGTTTGGCTAATACAGCAATATAATGGGCTCCGCTTTTGTTGAGTGCAGCCATCATTCTGCATGGGTGGTCTTTTTCAGTTTTTGACTTGGTAATGGTTTGTAAGCTTAACACGAGAGAAGAACTGTAATCAAAGTTTCATCTGCTGCTGGCTTGCTGTGCTCCTGCTGAGGGCTGTCATGTTGATGGAAACCATTCTCACTTCATCATCAATTTGGATCACAAAGGCAACTTGAAAATAATAGAGGTATTTGTCTGAGTATCTCCCTGGATCTTACCGGAATAATAACTCTGATTGACTTCTTCCTACAAAGCTCCAGTAAGCCTTGTAGTAATGGAAAAACAGAGTCACATTGATTAGGACAATCTACTGTAGCAGGACTTGAAGTTTATATTTCTGCAGAGCAGAGAATTCATCTGGAATTAAACCACCAGGTTCACTGCAACAGCCTCATTTCAGCATGAATAAGCAATCAAATATAGTCCAAGGTGATAGGAGAATAAAACTGATCCTTTTTCTCAAGTTTTAACCCCAAATAGAACGACTGAAAGGGATAATTATAACACGTCAGAACACCCAGGGATTAGAATCATCCAGCAGCTGATAGGATAGGAGTCTATTCCTGACAGAATCAGAAATGAACAGGAAACAAACAGTTGCTTGGCAGTAAATATATGCATGCAGTGGAGGAGAGACGGCTAATCAGACATCTACTGGAGTCTAATAAGTTGAATTCATTATACAATCCAGGTCTCA